CACAACTGCGGTGGACATTATCAAAGGCGATGAGGCAGTGGGCGAAGTGATCTCCCGTGCTTTCCGACTAAGACTGGTTCAACTACTGGATCCCCTGTCGTACTAATGCGGCCCAGCCGTGTGAGCTAATGCGTGAGGAGTGGGCGGGGCTTCAATTGTTTTGGAGCACACGCTGTTTGCCGCAAAACGGGTTTCCAATCTGGATTAAGGGACGTTACTTCTTCTTTCCTATTAAAATTATTGTCATGTTTAAAGATCTCAATGGCCTCTCTGGTTAGTCTCGGGTAATACCGTTGAGATTGGTGCAAAATGTCCACTTCGTCGAAACGTATGTGGTGGCCGTCTAGAAGTGCGTGCTCCGCTACTGTTGATTTTTCTGTTTGTCCTAATCTGCAACTTCGTTTATGCTCCGTGATCCTAGTGTTTACACTACGTTTTGTGGTGTCGATGGTCTGCCACAACTGCATATACGTGCTGATAAAGGATCCCGTTTGTCCTTGGCCGATCTCAAAGTCTGTTGGATTGTTCGGGTTGATTTAAAAACTGTTTTGACTTTGTGTTTCTCCAGTATCCTGCCAATCCTGTCCGTGACTCCATGTATGTATGGGAGGCAAGCCCAACCCTTACTTTTTCTCCACTGTTTCTTGGTCGAATTGCTCTATTGAACTCGTTCTTGCTGTAGCCATTCCAACAAATTGTCCTTTCTAGGTGTTTCAATTCTCTTTCTAACTCAGCTGGTTCGCAAATTCTTCTGACTCTTTCGGTGAGGGTTTTAATGACTCCTCTTTTTCGACTGGGATGATGGTTTGATCCACTGTGCAGGTACGGGTCGGTATGTGTCGGTTTTCTGTACACCGTGTGGGCCAGCTTTTCGTTGGTTTTTCTAGTTACCAAGACATCTAAAAATGGCAGTCGCCCATTCTTCTCCACTTCCATAGTGAACTGTATTTTTGGGTTTATTGAGTTGAGGTGCCTCAGGAAGTCTAAGTTCAACCAAACCATGCCCCAAACAACAAAAGTGTCATCAACATATCAAAACCAACGCTTAGGTTTCGTCGCGGCTGTGTCCAGAGCGTTCATTTAAAATTTCTCCATAAAGTAGTTAACTATCACCGGACGAAGGGGGCTCTCCATTGCTACTCCATCTGTCTGTTCATAGAATCCGTTTTCCACTGAAAATAGGTTGCGATTAAGCAGTGTTCGAAGAGTTTGGCGATGCCTGGTGGAAATTTTCTTTCAATAAGTTCCATTACCTCCTTAATTGGCAACAACGAAACAACATCAAAAATCACAAAAACTGACTAACTTGAACTAAAAGACGTGTTTTCGGATGTCTTCGCTCCTGCAAATAAACAACACTATGTACTCCCCTTTTGTAAAGCACGCCAATGATGTTAGCAATATGATTTAATGGTTTAATCAATGATTAATGAACCACTTCATGACTTCTAAGCGATGACGTCTATTGAATGATAAGAGCTTTAACGTCTGGAAAATCATATAGAAACTTCAATGCACCAAGTAGCCAATAAATATTTGTTATTGAATTGAAATGTATTCGATTAATTTATCATGTCATGTCATTCAACGTGAAGGCTTTTGAATCGGCTTCATTTGATCATTCAACACCAATAATGCCAAGACTAAATGTATTGTGTTTAGTGTTGCTATGTGCGGTGAATTTGAGTGTTGCTGAATTTTACAGTAAGTTACACTGTGTTGAGTAAACAAACACAGACCTGTTGGTGTAGAGTTTCAGAACACTTTGGGCCACCTGAAAGCTCAAACATCGTCCGATGTGCAACAAATTGCAGTGGAAAACTTAATCAAAAGGATCCTACCCGATAGAGGCGGCGAATTTACCGCAGTGGTAAACAGCAGTTTCAATTTAAACGGCAAAGAAGCTTTTAAGGTAAACGAAAAAATGCTTGGTGCCTCCGGAGGTTTACATTGAAGCAAGATGTGAATTCGAATAGAATTATTTTTCAAAAAATAGTCCATAGGGTTTCCTACGACGGACTACGACGGAAATTCTCAAACGTTTCACTTTGAATTTTAAGGGAATTTTACCATAGCAGTTAAAAAGGCACTAGGCCACACTTTTGATTCATATCGACCCCCAAATAACCAAAGCAGTCAAAAAGTGCACGACTGTTTCCTAAAGCCACCCTGCAAACATTTCAAAATCGAATGCGATGTTATTTAAACCTCATTGTAGATCAGTAAAGTAGAAGGAAAAATTGCAATAACCGGAACAACTGGGGTTACAGTAGCTACCGGCTTTAACTACTACCTGAAGTACTATTGCTCCGCCCATATTTCCTGGGAACTTTCCCAGCTGCAGCTGCCTAAAGAATTGCCAGAGGCTGACGTTTCCATTGCACTAAATGACCAGTACGTTTATAAACTGCTCAACAAAATAAACGTTACACGGCCAAATTTGCCCTAACGTTGGAACAAGATAAATTCTGACTGCAGTACTGCTAGTACAATTATTTTTCTACCCGTTCATGTTCTTACAAAAAATTAGTGCTTCAGGTAAAGTTTCTCCAGAGTGGCAAATGTAGCGATGCAAACTTTGTGAAAGTTTGGCATGCTTCCAATTGAGCAAAAATATATTTTTTGTATTTCAACATCAAAGGCATAAAGATAGACCTAATATCTCAAAACGATTTTTCGTTTTTTTCCCTATCTTTTTTATTTACGGGTTGATGTAAAAATCGACTTTTTGGTCTTGTAGTGATAACATTTTTCTTCTTGGACCGATTTTCAAAATCTGCCGTCGAAGCTAAAACGTCATGTAAGAAGATACAAGTATGATCGTCGACTCAAGACGAAAATTCAATCCACAGGATTGCATTAAAAGTGACCCAATCGGAAATTTGTTTGTTTTAATTTTTTATTTATTTATTTAGCTTTATTGAACGTCGGTGTAAAACACCAGGTTCATATAGCCATGCAGTAAAATTTATATTTTTGAAAATTTAACATTTTACATTGATGTATTTTAAGTAAGTGCGTTAAATTCTGCCGAATGAATAAAACAATACCATCTCCTTTGGCTAGAGGCCGGTTCTTGTACACGAGAAATCCTTGTACACGGGAATTGGATGAAATTCTTAGATGTAAGCCAGGATTCTACACAGATTTTCTATGTCAACACTTTGTAGGGCGATTTCGATATCAGTCAGATGCTGCTTGATGCTCCGGGCGTTCCAAAAGAGTAATCTGAGAAGTTTTGGTTGGGGTATCCATTGCATTGCTGATTTACGTTTGTTCTTTTCCGTCGATAGACAGAGAGGAATCACTTGTATCGCCACAAACTTGTTTATTAAGTTTCTTCTTTATTCTAGAAATACGATGCTTTAATATTGTTTGGATATGTTTGGATAGGCGTGAATGAGTGAGAGCATAATAAATAATTTTTCCAAGCATAGACCGAAAGATATTTCAAATTAAAAATCCATGACGTCAATTGTTCAAAAACATTCACGTTATGTAGCCATATGAGAAGTAACAAAAACGCGCAAAGTTTGATGATGAATTCATTTGAAGCAAAACGTCGCCGCTAGAAATGGAAATAATGGAAAAGTAGGTGCTATATAATGACCAAACAAATTATTCAAGCTGTAGCTAAAGTCTCAAATGTCCATTTTAAAACGTGTATTGAACAATTCTCGAAGATATCAATGGCCATTACAAACTTTCAATTTTGCAAGCAAATTCCTAAAGATCCTAATCATTTTTTTGAAAAATTAACTTAAAAGAGTGAAAGCAAATGAAGACGGTAAACGAGCAAATAAATCGCACAAAACATTATGCTCGGGGTGAAAATCAAACAAACCAAGTAAACCTGTAACAGTTAAATGAGTAGAATTCAAAAATTCGAAATGAAAAAATGCGAATTGCGAGGACTAAAATATGTCTAATATAAATTACCGTAAAAAATTAAAATAATCACAACTAGCTAAACAACAAAAACGATTTGAGCTGTTTCAAATTCTTATACGGAAAACTGACGAAATATAAAGATATTTAAACTGACAAAAAAATATACAAGACATTTATTCTCCTGCGACCAAGCAAAGCGACTGCCATGCAGACCACGCAGGAACACACAAGTCTAAAAAACATAAGAAAAACACATAACCCATCATTGAAATCAAGAAGAATTTGAAAGCTTCTATCCCCTTTTGCAAGAAATTGGAGATTTAAAAGACGAACAATTGTATTCATAAAATTCATATAAGAAGAAATTTAAAAAATGTGAGAAATATATTTTATGGAAATAAACTTTGAAGCAATCAGAATAAAACAACTTAACAAAATGTAATGTGAGTACAGGTTATTGAGGATATTGATAAGCGCAATATCACAGTTAAAAGAAAAACTATACAGAAATAGAAATAACAAAGAAAAAATATCAAATCCCAAACTGCCAAAAGAAAAACAAAAGCAGCCAAGAGAACTTGGAGACTAATTAATGCAAAAGGTTAGTCAAGAAAACGACGAATCTTAAAAAGTATTTACCAAAAATATATTGTATGCAACCAAAAAATGAATATTATACAGAACCAGGAAGAATAAAGCAATATGGAAAAAACATCATTAGCTTATCAAAAATAAGCTCAGAAGAGAAAAAGCAAGTTAGGAGAACAAACGAGCAAAGAAATAGCTTGAACCTAAAAAGCAGAAAAAATGCTCCAATGGTTAAAAACCTTCATTTTCGAACACAGAAGAACAAAGGAAGCTAAAAAAGAAAAGAACACAAAACTGCTAAATCAGTCAAGATGAGTTTAGAAACTAGAAGAAGAACCAAGGGATAGTGTTAGCGATATTGTGGTAACCTATGCTGAGAATGTTGGCGGCCATTTCATTTTTATCGATACGATCGACGACGAGCCACGACATGAATCCGATTGAGCATGTCTGGAATAGAATGAAGAAAAATTTGAGAGAATGGCAAGGACCAATGAACAGTGTGGATGATTTGGTAAATTCGGTACATGAAGAATGGGATGCTATTCCCCAAAGGTTTTTGCGTAACCTAGTGGAGGGAATGCCCAGAAGAGTTGCGGCTGTTATAAGAGCTCGAGGAGGCCCGACAAAATATTGAGTTCAAATTTAAATTACGTACCACTGTGAATAAAAGGTTTCCGTAATCATCCTCTCGCTCTTTTCTTATTCGACAGAACCATTGCGGCGATGGTTGCTTCGTTTAATTTATTACTAAGTAAATTTCTAAGCATCATGGTAAGTATGATTTAGCAATTCTGAAAGAAGAAGGTACCATACATGACGGCCTATCGATATCATAGCAAAGAAATGTTTGCAATGCAAAGATATCTCAGTTCAATTTGCAAAACTTTTGCGACTGGTGACAGAGTACCTACAGCAAGCCAGTTCGATCACTGATTTTTAGTACATGCAAATTCAGATTTGACTCACTTTCACCGCAACCCTCTATTTTGAATTTTGCAAACCATACTAGCATCATTTTCCTAACGCTTTAGCTTCAACATGAGCGCTAGGTTTTGAAAATCAGTCCAAGAGGAAAAATGTTATCACTGCAAAAAGTTGATTTTTACAAAATAAAAAAGATAGGATTTTCACGTTGCCTCGTTACGCGCATTTTCAGGTGAGCAAGGCGTTATTCTCTTTCGAGAACATGAAATTGTAATTTGGTTCCTCCGCCAGTCCATCTTAACTCATGTCAAGCGTAGATCATCCTAAACTGTTCAGAATTAACGGTTTATTTGAAAATAAATTTAACTTTAATTCAAAGTATACCATAATACCAAATTTCGGGGGCAATTCCGATTGGATCACATTTAATGCAATCCTGTGAATTGAATTTGTGTCTTGAGTCGACGATCGTGCCTGTATCTTCTTACATGACGTTTTAGCTTCAACGGCAGCTGCAGATTTTGAAAATCGGTCCAAGAGGAAAAATGTTATCACTGCAAAACCAAAAATTCGATTTTTTGACATCCCGTAAAAAAAATAATAGGAAAAAAATTTTGAGTTTTGAGATTTGAGGTTTTATGCCTTTTATGTTGAACTTTCTCAAATTTTGCATTGTTTGATTTGCCACCCTGTAGAAACTGTAACTGACTCACCAATTTTTTTGTAAAAACACGCACTGATAGAAAAATAATTGTACTACACAACACCTCAAACAGAAATCAAAATACTCGCAGAAGTCATAATTGATCGAGTTCCAAAATGAGTAAATTTGGCCGTGAAACGTTTATTTTGTTGATCAGTTAGGAAAAAAACAGAAAAGTCCCAATATTAACCTGCCTACTATCCAGGTTTCGCTACTACCAAAACGTGTGCACAACCAGCTACAGTTTCGTATGGTGGACTTGGGAGCAATGGGAGAAGCACATCGACTGGATGGCCCTCAACTCATTCAATTTCGTTCTGGCTTTTAATGGGCAAGAAGCGATTTGGGATCGGGTCTACAGAAAATTGAACCTGACCAATACTGAGATTGACGAACAGTTTTCAGGTCCAGCGTTCTTGTCATGGTAAGCTGCATAATTGATCCTAAACGACTTTTCCCACAGCAGTTGTAGGTTGCGAATGGGAAACTTACGAGGATGGGGTGGGCCTTTAAGTGAATCTTGGCATAATAAGTCACTGATTCTTCAGCATCAAATACTCGACCGAATGAGGGGTTTGGGAATCATTCCAATATTGCCTGCCTTCGCGGGGCAAGTTCCCAGAGCATTTAAAGTGTAAGTGGACTAGAAGTATTTAAAAAAAAAACAATAAACCCCAAAAGCAATTTAGGCTATATCCTGAAACCAATATGACCAAGATGTCCTTATGGAATAGCTTTCCGGACAAGTATTGCTGCCCATATTTCATCGACCCTAACGAGGAACTTTTCCAGACAATTGGCAAGCTGTTCATCGAAGAAGTAAGAGCAATTGTGCGTATTTATAGGCGCTCAAATTTATTTTAAATTACAATTACTTCATGGTTCTTTGGCTCGTCGAAGTATTGGAATATTTTGGGGAATATCACGCTTTCTGACCAAAGAATATATTCATCTCAGAACAATAACATATGAAAAACGAGGAAACAATTTTCCCATTCTTGAAGTGAACACCAGCAGTTCTGCAAGCTGGCGCTCCATCGTCGATTTCATACCCGTTAATCCTCGAAAAGTTCATACTAAACTTGAAATGACCCAATGGAAATTTATAATGAATTAAAAACTTTAAACCTGTAGTTAGCAGGAGGTATAGACTCCCGTATTGCTTTAAACACTTTCAGCGTCTGTAAGAAACTCAATATTTAGTCCGCGTTTCAAAAAACCTCATGTAATATCGATATTTTTGCCGCATTGACGCCGTAAGGCACCGAACCACAGAACCAACACAGTTATATAATAATTTGCTTGGTTGGCCAGCTATTTAATTGTTGAGTATTTTGCATAAAGTGCCAGTTTATGCAGCAATATTTCAAAGACAAGTTTCACGTTCCAACTGGTTTGGATTATAGCTGTAAACAAAACAGATTTCCAAGCCAAAGATATACAAATCCGATTCTGGGGGAGCACTATACTTTTTTATACTAAATTAAATGCTAGGCTATTGAGTCTGTTTGATTTTTGTTTTGTGTTTTATTCGATTTTTACGAAATTTTGAGCCTTTTGAGATTGATATATTGTCCAGGCTGACTAAATGGCAGACTCACATTCACGCCCACCGATAATTAATTAATTCTTCTTTGCTCGCATCACGAAGAGCGATGGAATACGTTTCTCGATTTTGACAAGATTTTTCCGATTAGTCTTCTGTTTGATTTTCCTGAATATGTTAACTTTAGAAGCTTGATATGTTGGCTAAAGTCTACTTTAGCCAGATTCAAGCCGTGCCAGGATTTTTGACCGCTTTACAATGCCCGCAGCGACGAAAAACTTAACTGTACTTTATGGTAGGATAAGATAAACATTTTAATTTTTTATTAACTCAAAATGTTTTTTCTACCTAACTATAATCTGAATAATCCTGTAAATTTCAATAGCAAATTGCTGAATATGGCACCGATCACGTATACAATTGCGACAGTTTCAACGAAATGGACCCTGGAAATGGTGATTTGACTTACTTATCCAACGTAGGAAAGAGCATTTACCAAGCCATGACTTCGGCAGATTCGGATGCAATTTGGTAAGTGGGAAATTTTGCTTTTTGGTATATTGGGGCCACTTCGATCGCTTCTGCTTAGGGTTATGCAGGGTTGGTTGTTCGTCCATTCATTTTTCTTCTGGACGACCGATAGAGCTAAAGCCTTGTTAACTTCTGTGCCTAAAGTAAGTCCGATTTAAGCATTGTTATTGATTAAGTCTCGTTTATGTACAGGGTGCTGCAAGGTTGGATGTTTTACAACGATCAGTTCTGGGCCGATACCGATAGGGCGAAAAGTTTTTTGACCAGTGTACCAACGGTAAATAATGCCAGTTTATGGTGCAGTATTTTGAGGGTTTCTCTGTTAAATGGCTTGTACTACAATAATTTCGTCATTGCAGGGAAAAATGATCGTTCTCGATCTGCAATCCGAACAGTTTCCCCAGTTCACTCGTCTGGAGCAGTACTTTGGACAACCGTATATCTGGTGCATGCTGCACAACTTTGGAGGCACTTTGGGAATGCATGGATCGGCTGATACCATAAACACCGTAACATAGCTGAGGATTATCAATTTTCCACGGTTTCAAGCAAACAATTTCAGGATGTGATCGCTACTAGAACAGCTTTAAACTCTACTATGATCGGAACCGGTCTTACCATGGAGGGTATTAATCAAAACTATGTGATTTACGATCTCATGAGCGAGCAGGCTTGGCGATCTGAACCAGCTGATTTGACTGAGTGGTTCAGAAACTATTCCAGACGACGGTATGGAAAACAAGACGAAAATGCCGAAAGAGCTTGGCATGGGTTTCAGGTAAGACGATAACTTATATACAGGGCGTCCCACCGGGAACCGCCGCGATCGATATCTAGCAAACTGTAATTACCAGAAATTCGAAAGTTGGGCAGTGTGCCTAGGTCATTGGGGGCACGCCGCCTAAAATATTTTCAAGATGGCCGCCTTCCGATTATACCGGAAGTGCGTATCAACTTGCTTATTTTAAATGGAATACCCTATATATTATTACATTTTTGAATTCTACTTCAAATTCTAACGGTATTTCATGCATAATATCCTATACCTAAGTCTAACCATTTTTGAGATATTTCAAATTTTATGTAAAAAATGACAGTTGCAGCCACTCGAATAATTTTTATTTTTCCTATCAGGGAATTTGTCATACTTAATTTGAGTCGCATTTATTGTTGAAAAGAACTTATTTTAATGAAATTTCGAAAACTTTTTGAAAACTATTAATGCAAAGTGTTAAAAAAATTTGTTTCAAAATACAGTTGATAAAACCGCCCAAAATAATTTTTTTCAAATAGAAATCCCGATTCTTGATAATGTTGTCATATTCAGTATTAAAAATAAGTGTAAGGATGTCTATTCCAAAAGAGTAAGGATGTCTATTCCAAAAGAGATAAGTTTTCGAAATATTGACAATTTAATGTTTTCATATGGCTATTTTGTAGCAGCTTCTTTTAAATCTTGCCACTCTTTGTTGCCATGACGAAAGTCGCCATTTTTAACGCAATAAAATGCCAAAGTAATGCTGACAGCTGTCAGCTACCTTTTCCAAATAATTAATAATCATGCCAGGGCGCTTCAATTATACAAACGAAGATTATTTAAACTTATTTATTATTTATGGAGCATGTGATCAAGTTATATCAAAAACCGTTTATGTATCATTAATTATTATTATATCAATCACTGGTATTAAGACGTATTAAAAATTCTTGAAATTTTCTATAACTTGTTTAACAGCACTGCATGAAGGCTTCTGTTTTTGTGGATATCGAATGGCAAATGTGTCACATGTTCTTGATACAGCTTTATCACATTCTTCATAAATCATAAGTAAGTTTAAATAATCTTCGTTTGTGTAATTGAAGCGCCCTAGCATGATTATTAATTATTTTCGAAAGGTATAATTGTATTAATAGTTTTCAAAATGTTTTCGAAATTCCATTAAAGTAAGACCTTTTCAACAATCAATGCGACTTAAATTAAGTATGACAAATTTCCTGATAGAAAAAATAAATAATTATTCGAGTGGCTGCAACTGTCATTTTTTTCAAAAACGGTTAGACTTGGCTACAAGATATTGTATATGAAATATATTTAGAAATTGAAGTATAATTCAAAAATGTAATAATATATAGGGTGTTCCATTTAAAATAAGCCAGTTGATACCTACTTCCGATATAACCCGAAGGAAGTGTGGCCATTTTGAAAATATTTTAGACCGCTTGCCCCCAATGACTTTCGCACACTGTTCAATTTTCAAATTTTCCTAATTACAGTTTGTCAGATATCGATCGCGGTGGTTCCCGGTGGGACACCCTGTATAAGTGTAATATTATTTATGCCAAACAATATTACGGTAATTATATGGCCATTTACGCCGACTAAACGATTAAAATAAGACGTAGTATCGTTTCTGCTATGATCAGCATGATTTAAGTATAAAAGTAGCCACGGCAGAAACGATAATTCAGTTAGACAGTCTGTGGTCAGGTCTGTTTAATCTCAGTTAAAGTTAAAGTTAAAGTTCATAGACAGCCTATGGTTAGGTCCGGTTCGGTCACACACAATTCAAATCCACATAATAAAGAATATTGTATTAATTTTGAAATAAAGTGTTTTTTTAAAACGTGAGTTTCAAATTAATCAATAAAATTCGGTCCATTTTACTGCTGTCCGGTGATGTTAAATTACCGTTACACACAGTTTTTTTTTTGTTAATCTAATATATTAATTTTACATTTTTAACTATCTACCGATATTATAGTTGCTGCGCCCAGAAACTGCTTTTGTATATAACCGTTTTACGATTAAAACTTTTGTGGGTTGCAAAAAGTTTGTTTTTTGGTATGTTCTAAGTAACGGGTCTTTTAACTACGTATAGTTGTTTTGGAAAACGTAAATTGTTTTGGTTGGTTTGGAAATGAACCATTCAACTTCAAGATTATGGACAGATTTTTTAAAACGCCTAATTCTTGCGGAAATTGCAGGACGCTCTCAGTTAAGAACTCTCTAATTTCCCTCAAGTTTCTGAAAAAACCCACTTAAAGACTCGTTTAAAAAGAACTTTATGGCGTTTTCAAATCACCTACTTTTGTTAAGAACGCCACGACAGCGCAAAAAAGCCATTGAACTCTGAAGATTCTTCTCTAAAATATCGCCAGTGGAGAAAAATTGCCATTTTGTCTTATGATTATTCATCAATCAATTCAGTTCAGAAATCTATAGATCGTTCAATAAGCAGTCAATTTTCCTACGAAATAATGAACAAAATTATAGAAACGCGACTATTGTGGTCTTGAAAGCACTGCTAAAAATCGGCTAAATTTTTCAGAAAACCCCAATTTATAATAATATTAGCTTTGATGTGATCTCATCGAAAGGAATTGTGAAAATCGGAACAGGAAACATTTAATTCCAGATATAATAACATAATCTTGTAGAGAATTAAAATTTGTTCTAATAAGGTGACAATATTATGAAACACCTCTTCGAATAAGGACAAAAAAATTAAAACTCGTTTGCCCAAATTTCGGTTGATTTTTTGAATATTTCAGGAAGTAATAAAATCAAATCGCGCATATTGTCTACTTGCATACGTCTCCGTATGTCTTTCGCCTTTACTCACTATCACTCTGCTTATGGATAAATTGCTCATTTACAGAACACCTTATATATCTTTAACGGTCTGTATCGAATGAGAGGTCAATTTGCTGTCTCCAAAACCCCCAGCCTGGATATATCCACGTGGGTAAATAATGCTGCTTCCGATGAAGAAAACCGAACTTCAAACACTTTCTTCCAGACTTGGTACGAATATTCCGATTTATTTGATGCATGGAAAGCTTTACTAATGGCATCCGATAACTTGAAGGACAGTCCTGGATATCTGCACGATGTAGTGGATGTAACCAGGCAGGTTTTGCAAAACAATGGTGATATCTACTACAATAAACTAGTAGAAGCTTTTACGGCAAAAAATATCAGCGAATTCCAGTGAGCGAAATTGACCTTTTGACGCTTAAATTCTTAAAGATTTTGGTTTGCAGGAAGTTTGCAACAATTTTTCGGGGTATCTTGCTGGACCTAGAAACGATTCTGGCAACGAACGAGGCCTTTTTGCTTGGAAAATGGTTGGAAGCAGCCAAAGGTTATGCGGGCGATATCAAGGTACGCGCTTCAGACGCTTTGGTGTAGTTGCAAGTTTGTGATTTCAGGAAGAGAAACTGTTTGAGTACAACGCAAGGAACCAGATTACTCTTTGGGGCCCATATGGAGAAATTATGAATTACGCCATTAAACAGTGGTCTGGTAAAGTGTCATTTTCTTGTGAATAAATTAGTTTTTATTCGAATGAATCTAAAAGTGCAATTTTTCGATCAGAAGCGATGATCAAAAAGAAGCACTTTTCTTTACTGTTCATTTGCTTCACTTTTACACACGGACTTTTCCGCACATGTGCGCATAAGTAAATCTGACAAATTGAATGTATCACTGTCATAAAATATTTTTATTTACAACCATATATGTAATGTTGTCATTACTAACGTCATTGAAAGTTGGAAAGTGTCATATTACCTACCTCTACTTCCCGCCCTCATTTTCCGCACTCACTTCCCGCACTCACTTCCCGCACTCGCTTCCCGCTCTCACTTCCCGCACTCATTTCCCGCATTCACTTCCCAAAAAATCTAACGATTTCTATGTTTTTTCTCAAATTTATGTAGTCTCGAATGATCTTCACCCGACATTTTCATTTTGACTAATTCGACAAGCTCCATATACACCTCTGTTCTCCTTAGAAAAGACGTAGAATTTTTTAAATCTAAAGCCCACATTTTGTCGTACCAGGAAGTCGGGCAATTTTCCACGTTTGGAAATATCAATTTTTTCTTTAATTTGTAGCACTGTTCTTATCATACTATACATGGCCCACAAAGTGGACGACTTTTCCTGTTTGGTTTGTTCGCCGAAAAGTATGGTAATAGTAACATTACATTTTCGGAGATGAAATTCTTCACATTTTTTGCTTCACACCACTTCTATATGTCTCAATGGCTTTTAGATAACGAAGATTACTTTTTGCTGGCACCAACCCATGTGCTTCAGCGTCAGCAGCCTGTCGTATTTCCGGCGGGGTACAAGCTAATACTAATTCGTCATCGGAGGACATTTTTTTTTGCAAACTTAAAATCGGATTAAATCTGACAATTATTTATATTGTGAGAGTGAGAGTTGTTGACCCCATAGTAACAGAAACAATACACTTACCTATTTTATTATTCTGACAAGAAAACCACCTGCTTATTTATGTGTCATTAAATGTAAAGTAGGTATGTCCAGAACTTTCAAAATTGAGTCTTATTCATTATGGTCTATATATAATATACTAAAAAGTATTTTCATTAAAAAGTAAACTACAGGCTATTTTAATGAATTACGTAGGTTTATAGAGAACTATTGATCATAATTTAAAGTTTACTTTCAACTTGTAAATTATAACTTTGTTACAAGTTCAGTCACAAAGTCGTTCAAATGGTCCATTTTTTGCGCTCGCCGATGTTGCCACAAGCAAAACACGATTTTTTTAAAGATCGAAAATTTTATGCAATATATGCATCTTATACAACACCATACCGTGAAAGCAGCACTTGGATTTTCAACACTCATTGTTTCACTTGTATATGCTTACAAAAGTACGCTTTTGAAAAATTACAAACGTCAGAACATGACAATTTCACAAATGGCATTGACATCAAATTTTAAATATGAAGTTGACGGCTTTTATTTTTGGCTATTTTTGTTTATTATAATTTATTATTCGTGTTATGTCCTTTATTCGAATAAAAAATATTGTTCGATACGAGGGCGAAAATCCGTTTTTCGATCTCCTGACGCAAACTCCGTCATCGTTCTACCGTTCACCGAAAACTACTATTCATTAGTTGTTATCGGATTTTGAAAAAATTGACAAAATATGGCTGTTACAGGTTTGGTACAGGATTTTCTCTACCCGAGATGGGACGAATTCATCTACGCGATGAACTTCAGCCTGGTCTACGATACTGAATTTCTCGAAAATACTGTAAAGGTGCTGATTTTTTTCCTTTATGAGGAACCTTTTGTGTACTCTCGCAAGGTGTACACCACTGAGCCTGCAGGTGAGATTCGTTAAAAGTACACTTTCGTGTCGCAATTTTCGCATCAAAAGGATATTCAGTTTTACCAGGTCATCCCCATAAAAACCGCACCCTTCTTTAGGTAGGTCGTAGTGTAAACACGCAGGCAAGCAGTAATTAATTCTAGCTAGGTTCTTTTTTTAATTAACTTTTTTAGGTCAGCTGGCTTTAACTAGCACTGCTCGAGAAGTAATGCATAGATTCTCGTCAGGCAGGGGTTTTCAATTTTTTTGCAATATCCTGTTTAATACAAAGATTTGCATGCAAATGGCACGACAAAACAGAGCACAAAATATTCAAGAAATTTGAAAAGTGTCGTGTGTAATGTGTAAAACGTAGAAATGAAAAAGTTTAGTGGAAAGCAACACTACAAAGTAAAAGCGACTCGACGCGCTGAATTAACTCAATTGAACACATAAAGTTGCACAGACGTAAATTTAAAAAGTAGAATTGTTCCTTATGAACTTTGCTGATTTGCTGAGTAAAAATTCGCTGAACTCGTGAATAGTTTGGAAATACAGTGTCAGTAGGCCTGGGTAACTCAATAATTTTTTAGCCCAACGCACCGGCGCAGTAACTCAGTTCCGTTGCTGGGAAAATGTTGATGACTTTTTTACTTGTTTTTAGATTTATTTTAAGGGCCATTTATCAATATTATTTTTAACATTTCTTCAAAATTTTAGGTTTAGCAAAGTTACTCTTTTCTCTAAATTCTCAATATTCCAAAAATTTACTTAAAAATACTGACAATCTTAAAGTACTTTTTGCGAAAAATTATGAAATACATTTTAAACACTCGCCTTTTTTGTCGCTTTGTAAAAAGTGTTGAAATCCCTTTCCAGCTTCGAATTTAGGACAAGAATCAAATAATTTTCTATCAAAAAACGAACGGAATCAACAAAAGTTTATAAAACATTATTTGGAAAATTCGTCACCTCTGTTCCTCTGAAGACTGTAGAGCTTGTTAAAAAATTTGGTTTTTTAGTTTTGACTGGTTTTTTTGCTTTACGTGCCACTCAAAAAGCTCCATTTTGTAGTTTCACTTAAAAATACTGACGACCTGGAGGTATTTTGCTCGAAAAATTACAAGATAAATCTATAGCTTTGTAGGAATTTTACAAAAACAGCGTTGAATTCGAGACAAAAACGAAAATAAATTTTTTTCCCGAAAGACTTTCAGATCATTAAGATTTTCTCAAAAACCGATCACAAGATTAAATTTTTTTAATCAAAAACGCAAAAAAACATAATTTTCTTTTCTTTTCGGTCTTTTCAGCCAAAAATAAAAATTAGAAAATTCGCCTCATTCTTCGGTTTGCAGGGAACTTTATAAAACTCTTTTCAGCTTTGAATTTGGCCCAAGAAACTAATAAATCTATTCAGTTTAATTAATTAAAATTATCTTGAAAAACCGGACAGACAGCAAAAGTTTCAAAAAAAATACTTGGAAAATTCGCCACTCTTATCGCTCTGAAGATTTTTCAAGTTGCTTTAATATTTCAGGTCATTCCTGTTTTAGCAAACTTTCTATTAAGCAATTCTTGCTATGCAAAAAACGTATTATTTCTAGTTTTACTTAAAATACTGACAATCTTCAGGTAATTTCTGTGAAAATTATAAAATACTTTTTATTGGAACACAGCTCCTGAACAGCGTTGTAATTTTTTTTTGGAACCTTATGCATCTTCGGATTTTGGACAAAACGCTAATAATTTTTCCTGGATTTTTTGCCAAAAATTATTCTTCGAACATGACAAGTAAAAGTTTATAATCAATTATTCGGAAAACTCGGAAAACTCGGAAATAACGGAAATAATTTGGTTTATTGAAATTCCTGTTTCTTCACTTTTACGTCAAGATTTCTAAGCAAAACTCGCTCTAAACAGAACAACGCGTTTTTTTCCTGACGTTTTTACTGTAAAATACTGGATAATGGAATTCTGAGTCTTTTATGCAAAAAAGTTAAAAGATGGATTTTACAAGGAAAGTCGTCGTCTTTACAGTTTGGTCTTCTTTATTGTCTTTTTCGGACATTTTTTAATCGAAAATCTTTTAAAATCGAAACAGTTATCTTGTTTTTGTTCGACAGAATTTAGGTTTCCTCAAAAAACGACCAGAGAAAGCAGAAGCATATAATCAATATTTGGAAAACGCGTCATTCTCATCTCAGTTAATAGTAGTTAGTAGTAAGACCAAATAGTGTCAAGCAATCGTATGCGCAATAGCAATATGTTGATGCCTTTTTTTATTATATGTCAAAATTCCGCCATCGGCCATGAGTTATATATAACTCATCTACTAATGAGTTAAAAATTATTAACTCAGAGAGCGGCAACATCTCAAAAACGCAACTAAACACAGTGTTGCCCAGGCCAATTAGTGTAAAGTATAATCTAAATCTGAAAAGATTTCTGTGTCTGAATAGGTGCTTAATAACGAGTATCTGCTCTGTAATTGTGTCCCCTAGTGTATAAAAGTATGTAAAATAGAAAAACGAAATAGTTGCAAATGAGCAGACTGCAAAAGAGCGTCACGACCAGAAAGTTTACTCACTTTCAACAGTGAAAAACCCTGCACTTTTGACTGAATCTTGCTGAATACAAAAGTGGTTTTAACAAAGCATTTGAAAAATAAAAGTACTGAGGATTTCCGGAATTTTCATAATGTTAATCGAGCGAGAAAAAATGTTCACAATAAACTGCATTTTAGGTGACTCTATTCAGATTGCAAAAATAATTGAGGGCAGAAGTTGGTACAGTAACAGCACAGATATACCTGACATGAAGATAATTCCTGTACACAATCCAGATCGTCCGGACATAGGTTACCCATTGATCTACGAACGTTGATGAATTATTTCATTAAAGACGCAAGAACAACAAACAACAAAAAAGAAATACTGTAACACCAGGAGCAATCATTAATAAATATGCTTGCACAATGGATGATTATGAGTTCAAATTACATAGTTTTCAGTTGCTTTATTCTAGTATAAAATTGTTAACTTTTAGCAGTGAATGAACAAAATAAATTTATAGATTGTAAAAGTACCTTGAAATTACCACCTTAAATATTTCCAAAATGTATTTTTTTGGTTCCCGAAATCCCAAAGCTGACTGAAGTCGATGTTTCCTTTCAGATCTGTTCATTTAGTATTTTTTTGCAGCCGGAATTCAATCGTTTTGAATCAGTTTTGAAAGTTTCGTAATATAAAAAGTAAAATCGAGCAACGAAAGAGCGTAATATAAATAACCGAGAAAGAAAGAAAAATTTACTGGACTCACAGCAGCGAACAGCTACGATAAAGTTAACTTGCAAAAAATCATAAAAATTTAATAAGATTCGCATTGAAAAATTATGAACGTTTTAAATGCTGGACAAATTGGAGCAATTACTTCAGGGTACTTATACAATAAACGTCTGATTATGATTAATGCAATATTGTGCCAGTTTATCTCTGCTGCTCGTTTTTATTGCAAACTCCAAAAACAACCTCTGCGACACCCAGATACTTGCGGTTTTTTCTTCAGTTACTCCGCAAAAAAGCCTCGAAAAAATGGCTTCTGGTTATGGATACCACAATAACAAAGTAAAAAGACCCATATGGACTTAAGCCGTCTCGAATTCGAGTTACCTGGTCCCGTTTTGTTCCGAAGAAGTGAAGGTCGACCTGATAGAGTCGGTTCTTTGGTTGGGTGAGACCATTACTAACCGTCGGTTGCTCCATGCATGTTTATGTGAAAACGACATTCGACACTTAGTTGTTTTGAACATTTTAAAATACGTAAAAAATCGGAATTTTAATACGTATTTAGCTACTACAAGTGAAGGAAAATGAGAAGCTTAATCAGAAAATCTTTAAAGTTGAAAATATCTGCTAGTATGTAAATGAGTTGTAGGTGATCGTATCCTTGAGTTCCTCCGAATTTTTAGGTTTTTCTTTTTTTACCCTAAAGAACACTTCGAATTAAGCACTTCCCTAGATGGTTCATAAATTAAGCCAAAAAACACTCAAAGTTTGAAGAAAATCACCATTTTTAGGCTAAATTATGAGCCGTGTTGCTAAACGGTGCAATATGTTTAAACTTAATGAAAATTGTTTCCTTGGATACCTAGCATGTAACAGGTTATCCAATTCGAGGTTAGGAAATTAAAACTTTGCTATTTGATATCTGTCAAAGGTAAACGTCATCCGAAGCGTTTTAGTTTCAGTTTAAGGTTTGCCATTTTGGAATATGGATCGTTTAACTGTCGCACAACGCGTAAAAATTATTAAATATTACTATAAAAATGGTGATTCTGCTGTATCAACGTTTAGGGCTTTACGAGCAGATTACGGTGGACATAATGGACCCACAGAGCAAACAATTTCGAACACAGTGCAAAAATTAGAAGAGACTGGATCGGTTACTGACACTGTTAGGTCTGTGCATCATCGCAACATTCGTTCAGCTGAAAGTATCGTTGTTGTTGCTCAAAGTGTGGACAAAGACCCGAATTCGTCGATTCCCGGACGTGCTCAGCATTTGGGCTTGTCTTACGGCTCATAGTGGCGATTTTTTTAATTGGATTTGAAACTCCATCTGTACACAGTCCAACTGACTCAGGAACTTAAGCCTCAGGACCATGGGCAACGCAGAACATACGCAAATTGGGTGATTGAACAACAAGCCGTTGATGATGATTTTTCGAACCGAATTTTCTTCAGCGATGATGCTCATTTTTCGCTCGGTGGTTACGTGAATAAACAGAACTCCTCAGGTGATCGCAGAAAGGTCTTTGCATCCAGAAAAAGTGACCATATGGTGTGGATTATGGTCCGATGGTGTTATTGGCCCGTATATTTTTGACAACGATCTAGGAAGAGCCATAACAGTAATTTCCGAGCGTTATGGACTCATTTTAACCGATTATTTTTGGAGAGAAATTGAAGATTATGATCTGGACTCAAAGACATGTGGTTCCAGCAGTCAGCAGCAGGACAACGAGTCACACAACATTGGCAGTTAGAGCCCTATTGCAAGAGAAATTTCCAGGACGTGTAATTTTGAGATTGAGTGATGTCAATTGGCCCGCAAGATCCTGTGACTTAACACCGTTAGATTTCTTTCTATGGGGCTATGCCAAAGATCATATTTACGCCAACAATCCTCAAACTCTTGAGCAACTGAAAGCCAATATCCGTGAAGTTATGACCGAGATCTTACCGGTAATGTGCCGAAAAGTCAATCAAAATTCCCTCAAAAGGATTGAGGCCTATAGGAGGTCCCGTGGGGGACATTTAAATGATATTGTTTTTCACGTATTATGGCAAGGTTTAATTTTTATATTGAATTAACATTTCCGTCTCCATCTAAATATTTTGTGTGTTTTTTTACTTTACTTTCCCAAGTATAAAATGGATAACCCTGTATATTCATTCAATTTGGAATTTGAATGGGGCGGTTTAGGTTATTTAGGTCTTTTTGGGCTATTAACTGTGACTTTTTGTATATATTTTCAAGTTTCATTTAATAAATCACTTCAACCATGCTAACTAACACAAACAAACTAACTCAAAATTAACCGAAAGGGAAAACGCACACAAATACGTGGCAACACCGGATTGTCTTTTCATTCCCGAAAGTTCAATAACCTCAATAACTTAACGACGTTAGAAAAGATGATCAAACTTTTGCGAAAACACAATTATTATGCATCTTGGCTACAATTTTGCATGTGGAGTTATAAATTGTTGATACCTAAAACGATTTAGCAGCAAATAGCACCGGACAATCTCCTTTAAAGCGAATTTGAAAAGTGTTTGACTGTTTTTGGGCTTAATTTATGGACCGTCCAGGAAAAAGAAAGAAAAAACTACAAATTCGGTGGTCTCAAAAGACACGATCACCTAAGTTGTAAATTTCCGTAAAAAAATGTTGCTAACAACTTGCATAAAATTTAAAAGAGTGGTTTAATTAGGACCGAAAAATTGCCAGTTCCATTTAGAATAAAACGTCAAATAACCGGTTATTTTTCCCTTCTTTGAAGAGTTTCCACAATGAATAGCTGGCGCATTCGTGCAACAAACGCGCTACCGCATCAAACTTTTGAGGACTTTGCTTTTACACACCAGTTGCCAAGTTGCCATTGGAAGATCGCCGGGAAAAGTGCCATTAAGAAAATTTGTGCCGCGAAAAACGACCGCATACGAAAAAATAGTTTTTTTATAAACGCAATCGACTTTTTTGTTGTTATTTTGAAAAAAAAACAACTTTTTGTTGTGCCTGATTTTGTTTTTTTGGATTAATTCTGTAAATTGTTTTATGGTAAGTTAATTTTTCAAATAATTTTATTGTAGATTAGTATTAAGTCATCTTAGTTGCCTGTTGAGACTAATAGGAATCTGGTTGCAAATGCTTCAAAAATCAGTTGAAAAACTTGGGAAAAACTGTCTATGTATATCAATGATGTCACAAGTCATAACTCGACAATTAACTACAGTTTGAAAAACTGAGGTATTTATGAATATTTTGTCTTTGAGTCAAAAAAAGTGTTCATTTCTTCGAAGAACTTGCGGTTTTCCTAGCAAACATCCCCAGTAAAATATATGAAATCAAATTTATATAGTTTTGCTTTCCACTTTTTCCGACAAAAATTGGTTTTCCGATTTATTTCTAAATTTATTAAAATACCATTTTGGGTTTCGCAAACTAACCCATTTTTCTCATGGTGCAATTTGAAAAATAAACGGTTGGAACAGTGTTGTATTATTGACGACTAATAGAAAAAAATATATTACGATTTGAAAAGTTGGTCAATTAAATGAAGAAAATAATTAATATTCAATTCAATGTGTCTTTTGTTTATAAGAGAAAAACTGCATATTCGTATTATTGATGTTCTAAAATACGTTTAGCAGTCATCCAGGTTTTTTAAATGTTTTTTTCCATTTATATTTTTGAATTGATTTCTTACTCAAACTCTGAAAAAAACAGTTAAATATTGTACTTCGAACTAAGTAGAGCTTTTTTTCATCGCAAAGTGATTAACATGCGATTTACAAGATTTCCTTAGGCCATTAACAACAATATGAACTTGAATAAGCAACCAAGTCTATTATTAAAGACCCGTTAGTTCGTATAGGTTTGGTGGCACCCATTCGTTCGTATCGAACGAAAACGATTTTTAGCTTGAATTTGGGTCGCAGAAAATTGCTTTTCTCAAACCATCCATACTTTTACAGTAATTTTATTACCCATTTCGAATTAACGGCTTTCAAATCGATAATTATATCGCTTGAAGCCGACATAATCGAATGAACCGACTTTGTAATACAGTGTGATTGCACTTACCAAATGTGTTCGCTACGAACTGTGATAAATAAAATGAAAAGTAACTAAGTAAGTAAATAAGTGGACAAATTTGCTAATCACAACACTAATAATTCATGTTACGATAGGGGAATGGTGGATAGCAAAATTCAATTTCCGCATAGGTTTCCTACGTCCCAAGCAGAACACTTTAGCAAGTTTTATATCTACGTGTTTAATTTAGCTCGATATGGAGCACCCAATGCTGAAAAACCTCATGAAATTGGTTAAGGGCAAAAAAAAATTTCGACTCACAAAAATTGGCCACAAAAAATGTGTTTGCATCTGTAAAGCGGCATTTAAAAGCAACTTCAAAGTGTTTGCCCACTTTGTTCGGTAACTGCACTATATTTGCAATAAAAAAATTATTAAATTGGCCCTGGAGATGACTAAACAATTCCAAGCAAAATCAATAAACAGAGAAACGTACTCTGGAGCTGGTTTGTTCAGGTTCATAAATAACCAACCCATTTGTATCAACTTGAGCGCTAAACACTGTCATAAACATTTAAGGTCATTCGAAGCCCATTAAAGGTAGTAAAAGAGCGGCGAGAATAAAAAGTTGAAACATCTTGAATGTCGGCCTGACACTAAAGTTTTATGTTATAGAATGCACGCATCAATCAACATCTGAAAATAAGCTGGATGGGGAAAAAAACTGTTTTCCCATTAGCTTAGTGGTAGTACATTGAATAACCACGCGTTCTGCAGAGGTTGATGGTGTAATGTCCGCGAATGATTGAAAATGTACACAATATTTGTTTATTCATGAGGATTTCATTGGCGTTGTCCTCTTTCCTACTTGCGAGCTGAACAAGGCTACAGTACAGCTGGAAGTTATATAAAAAGCTTTTCCTAATCACAACAATAATTCACAATTCAACAAGCAACTGAGCCAAGCTCGTTCTATTCAAACCCACGACCAGTTTTTGAATTATTTATTAATTTATTCAGTTCCTTATATGGAACGTAAAGCCTCGCCTCGCTGGGATCTAATTTCAATTGGTAATGTTTTTTGTGAACAAAAACGCAAAACTGCGACAAGTTTTTTTCCAATGATCATCATATATATACAAAACACCGGACTGGAACAGTGCGTTTTTATTAGGATCTGATAATTTGCTTCACTTTTAAAGTTTTGCTTAAATTTAAATGACGCCAACAATTTGCGCTTCTCGCTGTTCATGTGACCAATCATAATTTAGCCATTTTCCTGGAAACTTCAAAAAACAGTTATTGTGGAGATAATTGGCTTCAAGAAGGAAAAATGTTGATAACCAAGTTCTCCCGACACAAATTGCCTTCCCAATGGCCAAAAAACCGTAAAAGTTGTTAAAACCAGGAAGGATTTGTAGAGAAACGGCCTGCAAAAACCATTTGGGTTATGGCTATTAGAAAATTATACGACAAGAGCGATAAAATCGGTTTTGTGATGTTGCTGCCCGAATTTTTTGTGGCAAAAGTCCCGAATAAAATAACTGTCCATGAGCAGCTTTATACACTCAAAGAACTGAAGTGCTTTTAGGGACACGAATTTCTTACTTACACAGGG